TTTTAGATATATTAGTCTCCGTTTGGGAAGTGAGTTGGCTTTTTGACTTTTTGGCTTTTTTAGCTATTTTAGTCTGGGCTAAAAAGTTTGGTTTGGGAAGGGCTCTTTGACTTTTTGATTTTTTTGACTTTTTTTTGTAAAAAAAGAGTGTAATGATTATGAATTTGATGTGATATTTTGTTTGTTATGACAACTTATTTTATTTTTTATGACTATTTTAATCCCAAAATCACTTGCCATACACCACCATAGTCGTTGATGGTTAGGCTAGACAAGTATTTGTCAGAGGTGATTGGGGGCAACTAGAGGTATAGGTGCTAGGGAGACTTGTCAAGGGTAACTTGTCGGCAGCAATTGTTGGAGAAAGTGATTGGAAATGGTAGTCGGAGATAATGGACGCTAGAGACGGTGCAGTGCAGAGGGAATGAAATTTTATTTATGAAACAAGAAAAAATATATATATATTATTTTTTTTGAAAATGGCTCTTTGACTTTTTGACTTTTTTTTGTAAAAAAAGAGTGTAATAATTATGAATTTGATGTGATATTTTGTTTGTTATGACAACTTATTTTATTTTTTATGACTATTTTAATCCCAAAATCACTTGCCATACACCACCATAGTCGTTGATGGTTAGGCTAGACAAGTATTTGTCAGAGGTGATTGGGGGCAACTAGAGGTATAGGTGCTAGGGAGACTTGTCAAGGGTAACTTGTCGGCAGCAATTGTTGGAGAAAGTGATTGGAAATGGTAGTCGGAGATAATGGACGCTAGAGACGGTGCAGTGCAGAGGGAATGAAATTTTATTTATGAAACAAGAAAAAATATATATATATTATTTTTTGTATTTTAAAATTAAAATTTTGTTTGAAAATATGTTATTTTAATAATTTTTAAATTTTTATAAAAAAATATAATAAAAATTAAAAAAATAATATTTACAACTTATGATAATTTTTTAATTTTTTTGATTAAAATATTTAAGAATTGTTTGAGATGTCCTAAATAAGTACATTTTTTGACTTTTTAGACTAAAAAGTTGAGGAAAAATATATGATTGTTTGGGATAATTTTTTAACTTTTTATGAAAAAATGTATATTAAAAAATTGTATAAATTTATGTATAAAAGAAGATTGTGATGGAATAGGCTATACGATCGAAAGGCGTAAGGTGCAGGGTGTGCGGAGTGTAGGGTAGGAGATGATTCTCTCTTTTTCGGGTATTGAATTGGACGGTACTGTTCGGCCCGTGGGGGCTCACCACAGGTCCCGTTTTACTAATCGGAGCCGTTCAATGTGTATTACTCGTCGAGTATTATATGCTTCCAAAATAATCACGTTGATCGGATATCAATTGCTATCTGATCGGATTATTTTTTTTTCAACCGTTAACTATATCACCATCCATTTTTTTATACAAAATTGATTTGATCATATAATTAGCGATATTCGACTATCGTGATTTTCTATACGCATATAATACTCGACGAGTTCTATACATTGAACAGTTCAGATTATCAAAACGAGACCCGTGATGGTCCCTACAGGCCGAATAGCACCGTCCTTAAGCTTGCCTCCGCCTATGTAATTTCTCCTCACCAAAGTCAGGCAAAGACAACTCATGCCAGAGTGAGTTGTCTCATAATTTGTATAAAAATAATTTTTTTAGAATTGTTTTTGTGAGTAGTGATAACTTTTTAAATTTTTTTAGTAATTTTTTGACTTTTTATCTTATTTTACAGATGTCAAACCAGGCCTTAGTCTTAAACGAAACCTAAGTTGTTTAACCAAGTCATTTTTCATGATTTGACATAATATAAATAAAATAATAATTGCATATCATATGTCATTTTAGGAAATGAATATGGTAAACTTTTAGGCCATGTTTGTTTACCTGTGAGAGAGGGGATTGGAGTGCTATGGCCCACAGCTTGTTTGGTGGTGTTTTGGGAGGGGAGTAATGAATAATGCTATATATATTAATTAATGTACTAACTAGAATACTAACAGATAATGTAACATAATTTTAGAGGTTTTAGGTATTTGTAATTTATATAATAGGTGAGGTTAATAATAATGGCATAACACTAGTAGGTACATTAGTGTGTACATTAATTGGTGCATATAACACTACTGGAGAGTAATAGTCCGACGGGCTTAGTAATCCTTCTTAGTAAGGAGATTAACTTGGCTAAATTTTGGATAGAATTAGAAAAATAGTGAGCATATTGAATCTATTTTATATAAAAAAATTATTTTTTACCAAGTGTACCTGTTTATTTTAATATTTGTTTTAAGGGGGATGCACCAATAAATCCCAAATTAATAACTTGTACACTGTTTAGTCCTAAAAGTTTTCTTATAGACTGAAAGGTCCCATTACAATGTTTCAAACATCAGATTAATGTTTCGAACATTAAATTTTGAACATCAGATTAATGTTTCGAACATTAGATTTCGAACATCAAATTAATGTTTCAAACATTAGATTGATGTGCAAATGGGACTAAATGGAGCATAAGAAAACTTTTAGGACTAAATGGTTCAACTTTTCAGAAACTAAGACTTATGGGTAAATTTTCCTTGTTTTAATTTTCTTTTAATATAGAAATAATTTTTTATTTATTTTATATAAAAATAATTTAACAATCTCATTACTAATCATTTCTCACACTATCATCCTAAAGGCATCTCCAACAATTTACCAAATATTTCATCAAATTTTGAGTTAAAAAAAAGTACGAATTCCTCTATTTGATATTAGTAACTCAAACGGTGAATTTGTAGCTATCACCAAAACACAGGTCGACCGGCAAGAGTAAATAAAAAAAAATAAAAAATTTTGCAACAAAGGTAGTGTACTCCCAAATGAGATGCTCCAACTCATTAGATTAAGTTGACAAAACTTAACATTTTTTAATTGAGAGAATAAAATGATATGAATGATAGCTTGAGAAAATAAGGTATGTTTTTTGATTTGTTTCTGCTAGATTTAGGCAACTTTATTAAGTTGCAAGGAAAATTTACAAGAAAAATTTCTTGAGAAAAATGAGTTAAAAGGAAATGTAAAGAAAATAAAATATAATGATGAAAAATGTTTCCAACCCTGCTACTCGGATAACAATGGCAGAGATTAAAGCAGCCGAATAGTTCAAACAAGACTACATTCCTGGCTATACCTAATCCTCTTGATGATGAAGAAAATGTACACAAAAAGGATGAAGCCTTGAGAATGCATGCAGACGCAGACGTGGTACGAATGAACTTGAGAGTGATATACCCTTTCCTTTTGTTTTTCAATCCTTGTTTGGCTATTTTTATTTAGTGATTTTGTGCCAAACTCTTATGGTGTAAAGCAGCCATCTGAAGCAAAGAAAAATCCAGATTCATCCACCCTTATCAACACTTTTCAGTTGATTGGAATGTCCTCATGCCTTGATCTCTCTAGCTTCTTCGAGAAAGAGGTGCCAACCTCAATAACACAACTTGTTAGCTTTGTAACTCATTATCAATATCCTCGTACCAGCAAATTTTATTCCAAAATCTAAACAAAAAATTTGTTTTTGACTTATTTTAGGATGTTTCGGAAGAAAGATTAGGTTTATATCCAACCGTTCCCCAAAAGAATTGCTTGAGAGGATTGAGGATACAGTAACTAAGATGGGATTTGGGGTCCAGAGAGAGAGATGGTCAACTGGAAGGTCAACCAGGGCGGTCGACCAGTTAATGTAAATTTTTCACAAATTATGCCTTGAGATGGTCATTCGGGAGGACGTCCGGTGGGTCCACACTCAACGGCTATGCACAGTAAATTGCTGAAAGATGCAAGACATCCTCAAATTAGTGAAAGATTTGAGATGTTCTCAATTTGTTACAGGTTTAATGACACCATTGGAGACAAAAAATGTATTATTTTTTACCAAATTCAAATTTAGTGATGATTCTAATGAACCTTAGAGATGGCCTAACAAATACACTTTTACTTAATCATCTCATTAACAATCTCTTCACTAATTATTTTCTCACTAACAATCTCATCCAACCTAATCCGTTAAACAAACGTGACCTTAAAATTATATTGTCAAAATATGACTTAATATATTGGTCATGTTTGGGAACTTGACTATTTTAATTAAATTTTTTGATTAATGATTATGATTTAAATGTGATATTTTGTCTTATTAATTATTTTAACAAACAAAAGCCACAAACTCAAGTTCCCAAATAGCCCCATTGTGTTTTGAAAATAATGATTTCAATTTAAAGTTGCATTTTAAAATTATAAATTCACAAAATAACATGGAGCAATTACAACAACGTAACTTTACAAAAATAATTATATATACATGAAAAAAATTATTAATATTTATAAAATTTATTATTAATTTATAATTATTTTTAAACAATATCATTAATTTGATATTTCTCCAAACAACATAGACTTCAAAAAATAAGTTCAAAGATCCGAACAATAACAAGAGTTGGGAAGCATAACCCAAGACTGAACCCGTGACCAAGGACCGGGTCAGCCCACCAGCCTCTTTATCAAGACATGTCCTTCAAAACATGTCCTATTAATTTTTAATTTTTTTTTAAAAATATATAAAAAGATCAAAAGATCAAAAAATTAAAAATAAAAATAAAAATTGACTTTTAATCTAATTGATGAATTCGAATTTAGGCCTTGTTTCGCAATATGTTATTTTAGTAATTTTTTTATTTTTTATAAAAAGATGTGTAAAAAAAAATAAAGAGAGTACTGTAACAACTTATAATAGGCTTCGTTTGTTAATTATATATTTTAGTTAAAAAATTAAAAAATTATTATAAATTATTAAATTACTCTTTTTATTTTTTTACATATCTTTTTATAAAAAAATTAAAAAATTGTTAAAATAGCTTGTTTCAAATGAGGCCTTAGTTTACTCAAAACTTAAATTATTAGCTTATCAAAAATTGAAATAATTATGATAACCCATCGTCCCACCACTTTATAAACAGCAGACTCTCTGAGTTCAGTTCTCTCCCATCACTCCCAACTCCACTTTAACTGCTCTCTTTCCCCAATTTGTCTCTTTGTTTTTTTCTATCTCGAAAATTTTCCCTCAACATTCCAGGAAAATCGAACTGCGACTTCGCTTTAGATTGCTCTCTCTGTTCGCAAATGGACGCTTTGCACTTCGATAATGTGAAGGCGGAGAAGGCAAAAGCTATGTTAAGGTACAATCGCCTCCGAACCATAGCTAAATTGTTTCGCCTCCTCGAGATATTCCTCGCTCTTTTGTTTCTCTCCTGGATTTCGGCTCGATTTCCTTTCGCAGTCAAAATCTCCGGCGAGTATTTCCGACGACTGATCGCAATCGTCGTTAGTCCTCTCTTCATCTTCATAATCAGCAACGTCATCGTCATCACTCTCCTAGCCAAGTCCGGTCAGTTATCAGGCAAAACTCCGGCGATCAACAATGCCGAAACCGATCTCTACGATGAACTCATCAAGAACATCGGGAACGAAATCAACTACGGGCCGGAATATTGTCCTCCGGTGCCGGAATTGAAGGAGATCGTCTACGAGGAGAAACAGATCGTCTCTGAATTGATCGCTGAAACGGTCTCGTATGCGAAAGTTCTTCGGAGGAGTCAGTCTGAAATGCTGAAGAGAGAGAATTCGAAGAAGAATTGCGGAAAGCTCCGGCGGTCGGAGACCGAGAAATGCAGGAGAGTTGAGGATTCCGGCGAGGTTCCACCGGAGACGGTGAATTTATCGGAGGAATTGAGTAATGAGGAATTCAATCGCACCGTAGAAGAGTTCATTGCCAAGCAAGTCAAGTTTCATCAAGAGGAGAAGCTCGCTATTGTCACCTGTTAGAAAAAAATTTAAAATAAAAATAAAAATAAAAAGGAGAAGAGAGAAGTAAAGACCTGATTTTCATTATTGTAAATTACTTCTTATATGAAGGTAATTTCTCTGATGTTAATGCCATGTACATATGGTTCATTAGAAATATCACGAAAATAGTTTATTAGCATCAGTATTTATTACCATGATCATTTTTTAATATCATTCCAAAATGTTAGCAATGCATTCATATCATTTTATTTTATATTTTTTTACACGATGTATTGTCAAAGGGATTGGTTTGACTCAAATTTGATATATAAATTTAGTTTAATCCCAAGTTGATTGAACCGGTTAATTATGGGTTATATTTAGATCACGTTAGGGTTTTACCTTAGTTTGAGTTATATTATTTCTTTATTTTTTTATATATTTTTTAAAATAAAATTATAAAAAAAAAGTTAAAAAGATAACTTTTAATCAACTTTTCAAAATAATCTTGAGAAAAAATATATTAATTTTTTTACTTTTCAATTACACATCTAATGAGTGATTCATAAAAAAAGAAATAAATAAAAATAGATATATTAAATTTTCATCACACGATTCTGTTCTCTTATGCTTTGTTACTAATGGTTAGCTCAAACAAAAAGCATATGATATCAATTTGAAGATTACTTATGTGTTTGGTTATCTCGGACTTGGGTTCACAGATGTCGTGATATCTCAAAATATTATTTTTTTATTCAAAAATAAATAAATTAAATTAAATTAAAGTAAGAATAATCAAATGAGCTATATATGGGGTACTGTCAATTTTTAGAGCTTCTTTGATCAATAAAACCTTATCATTTACTTTGATTACGAGTCCAGATCATCTACTGCCCTTTCCTGCAGTACTCTCCAACACGACGTTGTTTTGGAGAAAACAACGTCGTTTTGTTTAGTGTTTTTTTTTCCCCTTCAAAATTTAAGTTTCCCCCACTTTTCACTTTGATCTGTTTCTCTATCATCTGTTTAGCCCTAACAGAAGAGAAAGAGAGACACGAGAGAGAGAGAGAGAGTGCGGAAGTGAAGAGACGAACTGAGAGAGACAGAGAGGCGAACACGACGAAGAGAGATGGTGGAAGGATATGACAGCGAAAGACAGAGGATGATGGCGACGCTGAGTCCGACAGTGACGCAATGGCGACAATGCGAGATTACAGCCATAACAACGTCCATTTCATCATCATTGTCATTTCTTGCTGTTATATACATATATACGTATATATGATTGTTAGGTTAGAGTTCAGCTGTTGATTTTCGATGAAATGGGTTTGATGAAAAATGGAAGAATATATATATATATATATATATTTCCCTTCTTTCTGTTTTCCCCTCTTTTCCCTTTCTCTTTCATCGATATGAACCCTAACCATTAAAGAAGAACATGAACAGAGGAGAGGAGAGAGACGAAGCGAAAGGAGTAGAGTTAGAGGACGACGACGGCAGGCGATTGCTTTCAATTTGAAGTTCCAAAATGCTTTCTGTGAATAAAATTCTCTATTTTATCATTGATAAATGGACAGAATTGAAGACAACATTGAAACGAAGCAAAAATCTGATTTTAGATTTGTTGTTGATTTCTTGGGTTAGATTTCTTATTTGAGTTTCCCCTACTTTTCACTTTCATCTGTTTCTCTATCATCTGTTTAGCCCTAACAGAAGAGAAAGAGAGACACGAGAGAGAGAGAGAGAGAGAGAGAGAGAGAGTACGGAAGTGAAGAGACGAACTGAGAGAGACAGAGAGGCGAACACAATGAAGAGAGATGGTGGAGGGACATGACAGCGAAAGACAGAGGATGGGTGGCAATGCTGAGTCCGGCAGTGACGCAATGGCGGCAATGCGAGATTACAGCCATAACAACGTCCATTTCATCATCAATGTCATTTCTTGCTGTTATATACATATATACGTATATATGATTGTTAGGTTAGAGTTCAGCTGTTGATTTTCGATGAAATGGGTTTGATGAAAAATGGAAGAATATGTATATATATATATATTTCCCTTCTTTCCGTTTTCCCCTCTTTTCCCTTTCTCTTTCATCGATATGAACCCTAACCATTAAAGAAGAACATGAACAGAGGAGAGGAGAGAGACGAAGCGAAAGGAGTAGAGTTAGAGGACGACGACGGCAGGCGATTGCTTTCAATTTGAAGTTCCAAAATGCTTTCTGTGAATAAAATTCTCTATTTTATCATTGATAAATGGACAGAATTGAAGACAACATTGAAACGAAGCAAAAATCTGATTTTAGATTTGTTGTTGATTTCTTGGGTTAGATTTCTTGTTGATTTAAGTGATTTGATTTATTGGGTACTATTGGTTTATATAAAATTGAAGTTTTGAAGCAAAAATCTGTTTTGATTTGTAATAGAAAAAGCAAAAAAGAAGATAGAGAGTTTTCAAATGATCAAAACTTTCGAAAACCCTAGATGGAATCGTGGTGCATGTAAAATGTTGGTTGTTTTGCATCATGTTATAAACCTGTTTCCATAAAAATAAATAAATAAATAAATCTATTTTGCGCTCAAAAAAAAAATTTGTTTTCCATCAATGAGCATTCATGTGATTTTGCAATTAGCTTTTATTTTCTGTCCTTAATCTTGTGTATTTTTTTATTTTTTTAAATTTTTAGTTCAATGCTCAATATATAACAAAGTGTGGTAATTGAGGATTGTGTTTCAATAGCTACGTCCATGGTAGTGAATTTAATCTGGACACTAAATTTTTTATGTCTACTTACAGGTTAAACTTTGTGGTCATGAAGCCTTGGCAGCTTCACACTTTCTATTCACTTCTGGTTTGGTAAATGCCAAGAAAATCAAGTTTCCAACACTTTTTGGAGTTTTGACTGCTAAAAGAGAGTTCCAGAATCACAAAATTGCTTTTTAATTGAGTTGGATTTGCCAATCTTTGCTTTTATGAACAAATTTGAAATAAAAGGCTGTTAATGTTTGGAAGATTCGCTTCAATTTTGATTGACGCTTTTGCCGTCAAAGTTAATTTTACTCCTTGTAAGTTTTTGTACTAGACATCTTCTGTAAAATTACATTTGGCCCTATTTGACATAATTTGTATCTCTATTATCTGTAATGGAAATTATCTATCGTGTTACCTCTGACTAATATAACAAAACCTGTTAATATTTTCTTCAATTCACTCTTCATAAAATTGACATGGAATAGGAAATATTCAATGAGATATAATCTTAATTTGAAATAGCAGTCAAGTTGATCCAAGAGGGGGCTAAATGTAAACTCTACTTGAAGACTCAAGATTTAATTCCATATCTCATACTCAGTGGCGGAGCCACAGCTAGATCAGGCGGGTCAGGTGCCCCTGGATTTTGGAATAAATTTTTTTTTTTGTGTAAATATAAAGAAAATATTTTAAACAAAAAAAATTATAAAATATTATTTAGAGTGAAATATTAATGATATTTTTAAAATCATGAGAATAATAATGATTGTTTTTTTATTGAAAATAAAGATATTACGATAAGCCATATTATTATCTATGAAAATTTCAATACAATCGTGATATCTATCATTATTGACATACAATTATAATTAATCTCAATAAAAATTTGAAATTTATTGAATTGTTAGATACATTTGACATGTGGGGCTTATCCTCTATGTGTTTCTTTACTATTGGTTGCTGATATTATATGTCAATGATGACATGATATTACAATTATATTGAATTTTTATTGAAATTTTGTATAAAAAATTATTTTATCATTATATAATTTATTTTAAACTTACATCCATTACTTTTTTTTATATATATTGTCCATGATATACTAATTACAAATAATATATATATATATATATATATATTTCTTGAAGCTAATCGTAAAAATTTATATGAAATATTTTGTGAAAATTTTCAATGTTATAATTAATAAGTGCCCCATCTGATTTAATTTCTTGACTCCACCACTGCTCATATTCACAGAGCAGAAAATCAGTATGTAGATACCATGACCAACACTGGAACCAACCCTCTCTATTTGTGTTTATGTACAAAACTTTGGTTATGTTTGTCTGTGTAAGAGGGGCTAATTTGAGCCCACTAAATTATTTAGGCCCAATAGCCCAAGATTAGTGGGCCCGAATTTATCGCAAGTCCAAGAATCGGTGGGCCCAGATTTATCGCCATCAAACGGATTGAATCGCTCTAAGCCTCGAAAGGGTTCGGATCCACGAACCTAGAGACTTACTCAGGCCCGGACTCGAAAGAAATAGAATCAAAATTTATTTTGTTCCATTATTTCTCACCTAAACCTTTATCCTAAATGTTGTTAGAATATATTTAATATTTGATTAAATCAGGAGTTCAAACAGTCCAAAAACAGAGGTTCAAACAGCCCAGCACAGCAACAGTTCAAAAGGTTCAAGTGGAAGATATTCAAATTTGTAATGATGGAGTACAACAGCTATAAATTCAAATGAATACAAACGGCTATAAACGGTCATAAACGCCTATAAGTTTCATTATATATACTAAAGTCTCTAACGTAAACAAGTTACAAAATATCAGAAAATATTCTTTGATCTATAATCACTCACATCTATTCTCTGAAAAATTCTCCAAGGAGTGTTATTCAATTTTTGTTTACATCCTCTTTCAGAAATTATACACTAAGACGTATAACTTTAAACTCATCTTTTCTGTGTGAGGTTTACAAAAAAATGTTTCATTTTTATATCTATCTTTGAGAGATAATTCTTGTAACTTTCTGTGAAAACAAAAACACTTTTTTTTTCAACCTTGTAAGAGTGTAGTACACTCAGTGTTCTTGACTTAGAAAGTCTGTGTAAAATCCGTGGAGGATTGCTCCATTTGTAAAGAGGTTGCTAGCACCCCCGTGAAGCTAGAACATAGTTGAAAATCTCAAGTGAAGCTTGAGGAGTAGACGTAGGCCGAGTTGAAACCAAACCACTATAAATTTGTTTGCCTCTCTCTCCCTTATCTCTTTATTTTATTTAAATTGCTGTAACTATATTTCACATTTTCACTGTACTAAAATCATTAACTAACATAGTTGTTAGAACACTTGTTTTAATTATTTTCATTTGATTAACTATATTTATCTATTGTGCTAGTCATAATTTTTATTAGAGTATTATTAATTTTTA